CTTGTCAACAGGATGTGTTTGCAACAGGCTTGTAGCAAGCTTGTCAACAAGTTGTAACAATGATGTTACTTTATCAAGTTGCTACAAGGTTATCACTCACAACTTGTTGAATTGCAGGACGATAACAAGATGTTGGAACAACTTGTAACAAGTCTGTTGAGTTCAACAACCTTCTGGCAAGTTGTCAACAAGTTGTAACAATGCTGTCATTTTATCAAGTTGCTACAAGGTTGTCATACAACTTGTTAACAAGTCTGTTGAGTCCAGCTATCTAAAATAGCGGTGCTCAACAAGCCATTGACAACTTGTCCACAAGCTGGGAACAAGCAGTGCGAACACAACCCCATGTTGAAACAGCACGATACAAGTCTATTTGTTACAAATTGTGTATTTACTTGTCTAGTTGATGTTGTATAGTGGTTTGCGGTACCAGAAATGCAAAGAAATACATTCAGACGGCTCATTGTTGACATCTAAGTGAGTGTCCACCTGATATTCAGGCTAAATCAAAAGCCTATCCTAAATCCTATATTGTGCACGAAACATGAGAAAATAGCCACATCATAGAATAAAGATCCATTATAGAAGGGCCACTTACGTCGGAAGCTTTGAAGTTTCTGTCCTCGCGCATGTCGCATTACGCATGTCGGCCGCCATTTTCCTAGCCAGTCAATGACATTTTCTGGCCAATAAACACGCTGTACTGGCTGGCTGCTCCGCCTCCTGGCCAGTAAACTGCATATTTTTGCATAAAAAAACGAGGGCACGTTGCACCGCTGAGTGGCCCTTCTGTTACTGATCTTTATTCTGTGGCCACATCTGAAACTCATTAATAATGCATGATAAATTAGCCAACCATATTGTTCTATTTTGCTCACATGATAATACTGGATACCTGGTGAAGTATATTGGTCCAGTCCTAGGACTATAGATCAAAACTAATTCAGTCCTTGAACTGGATCAAAATTAATTCACCTCACTTCAAGTAGTGATTTATTTATACGAGATGTCATTTCCAATCCTCGGACTGGACTAGATTTCAAATCCTTGCATTTTGATCCAGTCCTCGGCTTCGCCTCGGACGTGATCAAATTGCGCGGACTTGAAATCTAGTCCAGTCCTCATAGTCGGATTTGAAACTACCTCCTCTGCAGGCCCTCGTTGCGTCATGGGAAGGTCACACACAATTTGGCGAGGGCCTGCGGAATCTTGTAAAACAAAATGGCGCCGGCGTCACGTCAGCAAATAAATTTATACATAATCTTGAATATAAAAATTTATACGTAATCTTGAATATAAACAGGATATAAATAAGCGGCGTACGTGAAACTTATGAATTAAAGTGGCCCAACGAAACATTTACTAGACCTAACCAGGAGATGATAGTTAGGTTATAAGTCTATGTACACTCTCCTTCGCAGAGGCTTTGTAGTTTTCTTTCTATTAGTTTGGCTTGCGGGAGGCAGAG